TGGATTAGATAGCATTTAAGATTCCTTCTGTTAGCAATCTATGATCTCTGATCCTAAAGAGCTTTGTACAAAAATCTGCATTTATGCAGTAGCTGTCACATATTTTTGGGAATTGATTTCCTTACTTCTATACTTCAAGAATAATGTGATTGGAGCAATGTGGGCACATCTTTCATTGATTCCTTAATAGACTGTTTCACGAGTTTCAGAAGACAGAAGTACTGATTACAGGCTGACAGACTTTCTTATGATTATACTTTCTAAATTTAGCTAGGCTGGTTCTCAGGTGACAAATACACATTCTATTACTGTGGGAACTATCAAGAGTTTATGTTGGGGCCAGATGACCTAGGGAGTCAGGATACGACTGGTGTGGGACTTTAGTGGCATACTTTACCAAGTCTAACAAATAAAATCTAATTAACCCTGATAACCAGTTCATGAGGTTAAGATGTGTGATGTATTGTGATGTACATACATAACACATACACACATAAAGTGTAATATATTTACCCTTATATCTCAAATACATATCATCTTTATCTCCACCTTTTAGCAATTCTAGTTTCCTTTAGAGCAAAGTTTAGCCAGGTAGAAATTAGGTTTTAGATCAACGTCTTTTATATATTCCATAATAAATTCAGAATTGATATAACATAACTATTAAGGTCATACCACAAAAGAGAGAGATGGACAAAGACAGAGAAGCAGATCATTTAATTTTTTCACATCTGTGGATACAGTATGAATTCTTACCCAAAGAAAGGACAATTATAATTGATAAAATAGAGAATTTTCATTATATGAAATTAAAAACTTTTGTATAAACAAATCTAATGCGTTTAGGATAAGCAGTAAAATTGGGGGGAAATTTTTGTATCAAATATATCTCTGAAAACACTTTGAACTAAAAGAATTAGCTAAGACTAAAGACCATTCTTCAGTAGATGAGTGGTTAAAGGAAATGAATAAATAGTTCTCAAAAGAAGAATTTCAAACTGTTGACTACTATATGGGGAAATGTTCTAAATAATTACTAGTAAGAGAAATGCAAATTAAAAAAAGCTAAGATTAAACATCTAGTTGACTGGCAGGTAGACAAAATATAGAAAGAAACAGTGGTGAGGAGGTTGTACAAAGTAAAGAACTGTTTCATTGTTAGGGAAAGTGTGAATTAGTATAATCATTCTATTCTAGGGAGTGAATTGGAATTATGTAAAAAAATGACTAAAATTTGTATAACCTTTGGCCCAGAGATTTACAAAAGACAAATTTAATTCAAGGAGGTTATCGACAAGAAAATTTCCGTGCATCTCAAATTTGTTATATCTGCACTTTTTTTTGTGGTAGCAAAGAAATTTGAACAACATAGATTCCATCAGTTGGAGAATGACTAAGTAAAGTGTAGTACACTAATGTCATGAAATAGCAGTATGTCCTAAGAAATGATGAACATGATGAATACAAAGAAACATAGAAATATAGATGAAATAACTGATGCAACATGATGTAAGCAGATTTGGAAAGCAAGGATGTGACTGCAATGATGCAATGGAAACATCAACCACCACAACACAATCAAAACTGAAAATTGAAAACTTATAAAGACCAGGCTGGGACCTAAAGAAGAGAAGACAACTCCTTACCTATCCATGTTTTTCTTTGTTCTGTTTTGTTTTCCCCTTTCCCAAAGGTCAAGGTACACAGGTGTAGAACATTGCATATGAAGTCAGATTTTTTTTTTCAGCCTGTTGATTGATTTAACTGATTTCTCATCTTCCATTTAAATATTTTGTTATCTAGGATGGGTATTTGGGAGCAAAAGAACATTGTGGAAAATCTAGGTGTTATAAAACAAAAGCTAAAAAAATTTTTAAAAAATCTATTAAAAAAATTTCCATTGGTACCTTTCACCAAAGTCTCCAATCTATGTCTTCTTACCCTGCTATTACTTCTCATTCCTCTTTGAAATTTTTTACAAACTATATATTTTATATTTATTAATATGTGTATATCTCCCCCTTCCAAAGTATTAAGTACCTGTTTTATTTTTCGGAAATCTTTCGTTTTAGTTTTTGTTTCTCCAGGGCTTAGGACAGCACAATAGTTTGAATTGAATTGACATTCTACAAGACTATATACTGCTAATGTTCCCCTTTTTGGAGAATCTTCAGAAGGGCATGATTTTGGGATCATTCTTCTTTGAACCAGTGACAAGTAGCCTAAACTTGAATTCTTTTATAGCCCTTTTGCTCCTTGTCTTCCAGGAAAATTTAATTGAGTCATTAAATCACACCTGCTTGCTCATTTCTCTCTGTATTTTTCAGAAGCTTATTCACTTCATATTTTATGAGTTACTCATTGTAAGCTGTAAGAGGGAGGGCCGTGTCTGTTTCATTTACCCTGTATGGCTCTTAATATCAAGTTACAAAGAAGTAGGTTTTTAGTACTTTAGGGAATGAAGATGATGGTGATGATGATGATCTTTGTCACATAAGTAGTAAATCCCATCTTTCATAGGCATGTGGGTCACTGCACAGTGTACAATAAAATATTAACACTAAATGACATTTATATAGGTTTTTAAAGTTTATTAAGCAGAATACATGTGCTATTTCATTTAATTCTCACAACTTCCCAGGAAGGGATCATTATCTCCATTTTACAAGTGATGACCCTGAGGCTCAGAGAGATTAAGGAACTAATCTAGTAGCACAAAATTAGTAAGTGGAAGATTTATTTTTGCTTTTATTCTGAATCCGGTGCTCTTTCTATTATACCACAGTTGTCTTACATGGAAAGAAAAATATAGCTATTCCCAAGTTCAAGTGCAAAAGAAAGCAAATTTAATGTTATGCAAATTGTCCATTGAAAGTTTAAAAGCAAAAAAGAAATTTAAAAAGTATAATATATGAAGGTCAGAGTAAATGAAAACAAATAATTTCTTAAAATATAGATACAGAATTCCAACTTTTAAACCTAATGTATGATAGCCCTATGACCAAAACATCAATGGGAGCACTAATTATAGATTTTAATCACTATGGTATTGCTATACATTCTACAATATTGCCACTTAACAGTCTGGGAAGCAGTTGATGTTTTCATAGTGATTAAAACATGCTTTTTGGAGAGCAGTGTGGGCTGAAAGCAATAAGTAGGGTATATTTGAAATAAACAGCTTATTTAAATAACTGCTTTATTTGTAGTTTTTCAGGTTCTTACCATTGCAACACCAAAAAAAAATACCAAGGGAAAAAGTGCTGATCTCTGAATCATGACTATAAGATAGTGAGACTCATTTCCATAAGCCATTTAAGGAAGATCCCTTCCATGACTTACAACACACCACCTATAAACAGAGAATCTCTTTAATCAATGCAAACTAAGCCAAGATTTGTATCCAGAACGGCTGCATTGTTTTTTCTTCGACTAATTATTTCCAAAATGTATTTCTAAAATCTCCTTTCTAATTTTTAGATCTGTCCATCCCTTCTTTAATGTTGAGAAACACAGTCCTATATTCTTTCAGTCATAATACCTCTTTACCTCCTACTACAGTGTGGTTTTTATATTGGCAAAAGTATTAGCAGTGTTAAATCATGCAAAATTCATCATTTTGTTTTGTTTTAATGTGGTATCTGACATAAAGTTCAATACATGAAGAATCATACAATACTCTACCTCTGGCCCTACTTTGCATACTGGTTCTGTCATACAGTATTTTTTTTTACTAAATCATCAGCATAGCTTTATGTTCTGTTAAAAACTATAGTAAAACTAATCTTGCCCTCTAGATTTTGCATTATGCCAGATGGTTTCTTCACAGTAATACATTCTTAAATTAGATGATTACTTTAATAGCCTAGGCAAGTAACACAGTTTTGAATGGTTGCACACCATAAATGAAGCCTAAACTGCCTGTAGGGGAAATACCATTAATACTAGATTTTAAAATGGCATAAGGTCACTAGTAATTCCAGAGGTGCAAAATTCATAAACTAAAACGAAACAAAAAACTGGTGCTGTTGTTGGTTTTGTTGGGAAATTTTATTGTCCTAAAAAATGGATAATCGTGGTATATCAAGATACATTTAAAATAGGGGTATGAAAACCCCCTTTCATATTACATGAGTAAATTCAAAGTAACGAACTATTTCTAACATCCAAAAGCTAAAATGTAGTAGAGTGATTCACCTAGAAACTTATAGGTACAGAGTTACTAGTGATAATTTTCCATGATACCTGCACCTCAGTTAAAACAGTTGGGTTTTCATAAAATTCTATGAAACATTTTACTATGAGAGTGCAGGAGAGATCTCCCTGATTTCAAAGTTACACTCTTCCCTGAAGCCCACCCAAAGTCATCTTGGAATCCCCGCCAGTAGCTAACTCACTGAGGCAGCTGTGATGCAGACCAGGATATGTCCCCAATTCTGCTCTACAAGAACTCTAGGATACACTTAGGCAGTGAAATTGATTCTTGGATTTGCTTATGGATTGCTTATTAGCATGGGAGAGAGAATTCTTAAGTGTCTAAATGAATGAATCAATTATTCAAACAATCACTTCTTGAGCACAAATCACTGCTCTGTGTCAAGTCCCTAGGCAATACCTAAGATGAATGGTAAGGCAGGGGAAGAAGATAGTTATTTATTCAATACACTATCGAATTAAGCCCTAGAAGCAACTCAGGACTGCACTTCCTAGAATGCTGGACTTGGAAAGTCAGGAAGATAGGAGTTCGATTTTTTCCTCAGACATTTCCTAGCTTTGTGACCTTGGTTAGGTCACTCAATGCCTCTCAGCTTCAGTTCCTAACTCCATAAAATGGGCATAATAATAGCACCTAACTCACAGGGTTGTTTTAAGGGGCAAATGAGGTAAATTGTAAGGTGCTTTGCAAATCTTTAAGTACTATGCAAATCATTTTTATGATCATTAACACATCATTGGTTAATATGAAATGTTTTATTAATACATTAAGAATTCAGGCCAGAAGAAAAACAATAAGGGCAAAAGTAAGGTGGAAAATCTCCATGAAGTAGATGGTATTTGAATTGGGTCTTGAAGTAGGAAGCCTTTCCAGGAAAGGAGGGGAAATGAATGAACCTAGAAGAAGGAATAAGCATAGAATATTAGAAGAACATTGGAAATACTGTCATAACTAGAGTAGAGGGTATATTTGGGGCAACAGTAGAAAATAAAATTAAGTAGGTGGGGTGAGGTAAATTTTGAAAGTCCTCGATAAACAAATAACTATTTTGATTAAGTTAGCACTATATTCCTAGGATTCATGGTGCTACCAAAAAAACAAAAACAAAAACAAAATAAAACAAAAAAAACCTCTACCTACTGCCTAACTGCTTAGAAGGACTAGCCTTGTTTTCCATTGCCTTTTCTAGGACTAGGGGAATTGGACTGAGTAGTGGACTTTAATACAAAATTCTTAGAGACATAGAATCACCATCTCCTATCAGGAGATGTATTACACCACTTTAAATCAGGAATTTAAATTCTCAGTGGAACTATGTGACAAATTAAAAAACAAAAACAAAACAAGAACATATAATTTTAAAAATTGGTCCATGGACTAAAGAAAGGATTGTGAATATAGAGAACAACTAGTTAGCAAATAGTCATTAGTAAGACACTTCACTGGAAAATCTTTTTTTTCCATAGTACAATTGTTAGAATTCAATTACTTTCCTCTCTCTTAATTAATTTATACCCTATATTAACAGTGGGGGTCAGCTAGGTGTGGCAGTGAATAGAACACTGGGCTCGGAGTCAGAAAGACCAGAGTTCAAATTTAACCTGGAGAAGGAAATGGCAAACCACTCCAGTATCTTTGCCAAAAAAACCACATGAACATTTGGTCAACTGAGTTCTGAAAAGTGGGACAGGAATGAATGACTGAGCAACAATAACCATTTAACAGTACCTTGGTAAGCCAAAGGAATAAAGAGGTTCTGAGTGAGATAAATGTTTGGAGTTGTAGTGGGCTTATAAATGGAACCAAATGTTGCCTGCATATACTTTGCATAAAAAATAATGTAATTAGAAAATATGTGTATAACAAATAAAAATAATAAACAGGAGATTTAAAAAAAGGATTTACCCCCATTTTACACACTTCAGTGAGTCTATTCATGCAGCCTCATTGCATTGAATAACTATAGATCCATTTTTTAATACATACACATACATATGCATATATGCAAATATATATTCAGTATAGATAAGAAGAAAGCAAAAGAAGTAGTACTGATAGCTGCTTTTCTGGGCATACTATTTCACAACATAGCAGATAGGTCTTAATTATGAGAAGAAAAAAATTAGTAACCTTAGCATAATTGTACTTAATATTCTGATTTAGTAGTATGCATATATGCTTCATAATTACACAAAGGAAAGTGTGATGGTACAATATTTTACTACCCTTCTAAGGCAGTATTTTATCCCAGAACCTTCCTAAAATCTGTTATTTCAAGTTCGCCTCAAATAGCTAGTCTTTACCCAGACCTTCAAATTTCTTCTGCCTCTAGACATAGTAAATACAGTCAAAATTTCCACACAGAAGAATTGTACTTTAATAACCTCCAAATTAAACTGAGATTTTTTTGGTTATGCTAAAGTTATTTGCAGAAATTTTTAAAGGTTATAATTTGCTAATTCCCACATCTGAAGAGAGAAGAAAATTATCTATGTTAGTTGCCTTGGTGTAGGAATTTCTACAGGGAGATTTAAAAAAAGATTTCCCCCCATTTTACACATTTCAATAAGTCTATTCATGCACCCTCATTGCATGTGTATGAATCCTTCTTGAATAACTATAGATCCATTTTTAAAAAAAAAAAATTCAATACATAGCTTACTGATTATAGAGCTGTAAGTCTAGCTCCTTCTCGAACCCTTCAGAATGATTTGTCCTGGATATCTGAAATAATGTCCCAGACACCCAAGGATAAAGCCTGTATCTGCTAGAATTTCTTTTTTATATTAACTCAAAATAAACAAACCGACCAATTCAGAAATCCTGTCTTAAACAGAGTACAGGTACAGTATGGTTTAACTTTTTCTTGATGATTTAGGTTTCACAATATGAACATTAGTGCTTGCGAAGTCCTGAAGATGTAACTATGTACGCAATTAAAAAGAGTATGAGAAATAAGTATGAAAATCTACTGATCCCAGCATTGACCTTGACTTTCTTGAAAAATCTTTGACTTCTAAAGGGCAGATAGTAGGTAGATTCTCAGGGCCTAGAGTCAGGAAGACTCAAATTTCTGAGTTCAAATCTAGCCTCAGATACTTACTAGTTATATAATCTTGGGCAAGCCATTGAACTCTGCCTCAGTTGCCTCATCTGTAAAATAAGCTAGAGAAGGAAATGACAAACCAAAGTGGTATTTTTTTTCCAAGAAAACCCCAATGGGGGACATTGCTAGTTGTCTTGACTCTTGTCTTGCCACTAGACTCTGATTACTCTGGAGGAGAATATAAGGCGGTGACTCTGCATGGCTCTGTTTCACTTAAAACCCATTCACTGGCAATAAAAACATCACCCTCATGACGTCATTTTTCTGAAAGAATTAAGGATAAATGACTTCTGGGAGCCAAGATGGCAGAGCATGCAGTAAATCACCATAATTCTCCCATATGCACCTCCAAACAACCATAAAATAGGGCCCTGAAACAAATCCCTGAACATCAGAACCTGCAAAAAGACAATATGAAGCAATCTTTTAGCTCAAGAAACTTAGAAGTTAACCAAGAAATGTTTGTTTTACTTGGGCAAAAGAGGAAAACATTCCAGGACAGAAAGTATCCCAGAAAGCCAGCATCAAGCCTCACCTCAGCAAACTGATCAGAGATCCTGATCCCCAGTACAGTGGAGCAGGCAAGCTCCAATACCAGGACCCCCTCCCTCCTATGTGCCTTAGTATAGTCATGGGAATGGACAGATTCTAGCTCCAAATACCACAGCATGTTTCAGCATAATGCTGGGTAAACAGGTGATCTCCAGTGGTTAGACAGCCACATGCTTCAGTCTAGTCCTGGGGAAATGCAGAAACACCCCACCAGCCTAAGCACATACCAGACACCAGGACTAGGACTAAGGCTCAGCACTAGGTAAGCTGCCAGACCCCTACAGCCTCCAGCAGCACCAGCCATCGTTCACCCTATCTTCTCAGTGCAGCACCAGACTCGGGGGTCCCCTGTGAGCCTCAGGGAAACATCAGTACAGTACCAGGTAAACAGCCTGCAGCCCCTGACCCAAAAAGCCTGAGACAGTGCCCCTTCTACCACAGGGGCAGAGCTCAAATTTAAAAGACAGAAAAGGGACCAAAAAAGATGAGCAAAAACAAACAAACAAACAAAAGGAATCTGATCATAGAATGTTATTATAGTGATAGGGAAGATTAATACACAAACTTAGAAGAGGACAACAATGTTAAAACCCCTATAGGCAAAACCCCAAACAAAAAGGGGAAGTGGTCTGATGCTCAGAAAGGATTCATGGCAGATCTTAAAAAGCAGCTTAAACATCATATAAAAGAGGTAGAAGAAGGTTGAGAAAAGAAATGAAAAATGATGCAAAAGAATTTTTTTAAGAAGAGTCAACAGCTTGGAAAAAAAACTGCTTAAAAAGTACAATTGGCCAAATGGAAAAGGAAGGACAAAGCTGATTGAGGAAAACAACTCCTTAAATGTTAGAATTGGGCAAGTGGAAGCAGATGATTATAGGAGACATCAAGAATCAGTCAAACAAGTTCAAAAGAATGAAAAAAATAGAAGAAACTGTAAAATACCTCATTGGAAAAACAACTGACCTGAAAAATAAATCCAAGGGTGACAATGTCAGACTCATTGGACTAGCTGAAAATCATAAGCAAAAGGAGAACCTGACAGAATCTTTCAAGTAATTATCAAGGAAAACTGCCCTGATATCCAGGAACCAGAGGACAAAATAGGCATTGAAAAAATCCACTGATCACCTCAGCAAAGAGATACCAAAATAAAAACTCCAAGGGAAATTATAGCCAAATTGCAGAACTTCCAAGTCAAGCTAAAAATACTGAAAATGGCCAGAGAGAAACAATTAAAATATCAGGGCAGAGGGACAATCAGGATTATACAGGACTTAGCAGCTGCAACATTAAAGAACTGAAGATCATAGTACATGACATGTTGGAAGGCAAAGGAGCCAGGACTACAACCAAAGAATCAACTACCTGGTGAAATTAAACATAATACTGCAAGGTAAAAATGGTCATTCAATGAAATAGAAGGATTTTAAGCTTTCATTAGGAGAAGACCAGAATTGAACAACAACAACAACAAACACTGAGCTCCAATATCAAGACCCAAGAGAAACCTATAAAGGCAAAAAGGGAAAGAAAACATTAGGGATTCAATGGAGCTGAACTGTTTACTTCCCATCCTGAGAACAGCATACTTATAATTCTTAAAAATTATACTACTAATAGTACAGCTAGAAGGAATATACATAGACAGAGGGTATGGGTATAAGGTGAATTTGAGGGAATACCATAAAAATAACTGAGGGATGAGAAAAAGGAATACACTGGGTATGGAAGGAAGGGAGAGGTAAAATGGAGTAAATTATTTTATATGAAGAAGTGAAAAAAACCATATTATAGTAGAGGTGAAGATGGGAGGGTGGGCAATGGGCATTGCTTGAACCTTACTCTCATCAGCACTGGCTCAAAGAGAGAATAATTATGCATAATCAGCTGAATATAGAATTATATGTTACCTGACAGGGAAGCAGAAAGGGAGGGGATTAAGTAAAAGGCAGGGGGGCTGACAGAAGAAAGGGCATATCAGGGAGATGACAGAAGCAAAAAACTGGAAAGGAAGGAAAGGGTGAAAGGAGAAAGAGGAAAAACAGGAAGAAAATAAGATGAAAGGAAATACATAGTTAGTAATCATAACTGAATGTGAGTGGGATGAACTCTCCCATAAAATGGAAGGAGATAGCAGAGTGGATCAAAAACTAGAACCCTACAATATGTTATATACAAGAAACACACTTGAAGCAGGGAGATACACAGAGAATAAAAGATAAGGGATTGGAGCAGAATCTATTATGCTTCAAAGTAAAAAAAAAGCAGGTGTAACAACTGAAAAAATAGGTATACTAATGAACTGCTGGAGGAACTGTGAACTGATTGAATCATTCTGGAAAACAATTTGGAACTATGCACAAAGGGTTAAAAACTATGCATAACCTTTGACCTAGCAATACTAGATCTGTATCCCACAGAGGTCAAATAAAAAGGTAAAGGATTTTATGTATACAAAACTTGTATAGCAGCTCTTTTTGTGGTAGCAAAGAATTAGAAATTGAGGGGATGCTAATAATGTGAATGGCTGAACAAGTTTTGGCATATAATTTTGATGGAACATTGTGCTATAAGAAATGGCAAGAGGAATGATTTCAGAAAAGCCTCAGATGACCTATATGAACTGATACAAAATGAAATGAAAAGAACCAGGAGCTCATTGTACACAATGACAGCAACATTATAATGATGATCAACTGTGAAAGCTTAGCTACTCTGATCAATACAATGATCCACAACAATTCAGAAGGATTCATGATAAAAATTACTATCCTCCTCCAGAGGGAGAACCAATGAACTCTGGGTGCAATCTGAAGTATAATTTTCTCACTTTATTTTTCTTGCTTTTTTGTGACATGGCTAATATGGAAGTAATTTTTGCCTGATTTTACATGTATATTGGGTACCATATTGCTTACTTTCTCAATGGGTAGGAGACGGGCTGGAGGGAGGAAGAGAATTGGAAACTCCATTTTTTAATGTAAAAATAAGTAACTTATTTTAAGAAAGGAAAAAAAATTGACTTCTTTTTTGATTCATTTACCTCTTTTTCATAACTGTGTTCCTTCAAACTATAGTCTGCTAGTAGAAAACTCTCCACTTCCTTCACTTGAGAAGCCTACAAATAAAAACACTTGATGTGGTATATTCAGACATAATACTCTCTTTGAATATCTTGAATTCATCTTCTTGACCTCATATAGCAGACCTAGAAGTATGAAAGCTTCTAAGGAGCAGAGTTTTGGGCTAATTTTGAGACAATCAAATAACATTTGGGAATGTAAGTCTGGACCTGGGAAAAGTAAGGTTTTTGAGGACTAAACTTCTTTCTTTTTCTTTTTTCCTCTTTCTTTCTTTCTCTCTTTCTTTCTTTCTTTCTTTCTTTCTTTCTTTCTTTCTTTCTTTCTTTTTCTTTCTTACTTTCTCTCTTATTTCATCATATAAAGAGTTCTCAGCAAGGAAATTCCTCTAAAAATGTAGTGCATTGCATGGGACACTGAAAAGTTAAGTGACTTGTGCAAGTTCAGATAACAAAGATGTATCTGTGGCAAGACTTGAACCCAGGTCTTCCTTACTTTGAGTCTGGCTCTCTATTTCACTACACCAGTGATGTCAAACTCAAATAGAGATGTGGCCCATTAAACCTTACATAAAGATCAATGTGGGCCACCAAACCTTACATAAGGATTGATGTATCGGGGTGGGGAACCTGCAGCCTTGAGGCCACATGTGTCCTTCTAGGTCCTTTTATGGTGTAGCCCTTTTACTCAATCCAAACTTCACAGAACAAATCCCCTTAATAAAAGGATTTGTTCTGTAAAATTTGGACTCAGTCAAAAGGCCACACCTGAAGACCCAGAAGGCTACATGTGGCCTCAAGATCGCAGGTTCCCCATCCCTGATATAGGCCATACATTGACACAGAAAACTATATATTATTATTATTATTATCTATTTTTTATTGTATTCTTTATTTCATTCAATATTTCCCAATTACATCCTATCTGGTTCAGGATGCATTTGTGAGAGCTATGGCCCACATGTGGTTCATGGCTGAATGTTTGAAGCCTTTACTCTATGCCACAGTATCACTCATATAACTTTCTTCTAGAACAAATATGTGTATGTTGATATAGCTCCCATCAAGCAGAACTTTTTGATGGATTTTCATAAAGCTTAGGCTTTTTCAAACTTTCCTCTGTCATCATGAAAGTCAAAAAGTTGACTACTATTAGAATACATTTTATGTGCCGGGCATACAGTAGGGGGAAAAAAGTGAATAAACATTTACATTGTGCTCAAGGCTGCAGGTTTCCCATCCCTTTACATTACTTCATTTGATAGTAGGTGCTAGGTGCCTTGTAAATGCTTATTCACCTCTCCCTTCTCTCTTTCTGTCCTTTTCCCATAAGGATTCTTAGAATGGAAGAGGCTTTGACATTGTTTACTTAGCCCACTTTCCAAATGCCAGAGCCACAAATCTCACTGGACAAACAAGATCTAATTTGAAAGCTAGAACTCTTTGGAAATGAAGAAACTGTAATACACACTGACCACGCTTGATTTTTCTCATTCCATGAAGGATCTTCTTGAGTAACAGGAGCCAAGTGAAGAGGACTTCTTGATTCTTCTCACACTTCCCCAAGAACCACTCTGGTTGTCTCCTACAATTTTCCTCCTACCCCATTTCTTCTGTAGATGGCCTGCTTAAGAAATTCCTATTGCAAACAATAGTGTTGCTATGCTAAATTTCAGTACAGAAGGTAGTTTAATGAATAATGTAGTAATTATAAAATTGTTCAGTCCCCAAATCCAAAAAAGCATCTTTTGACCCTGAGGGTCTTGAACAAACATTCCTCCTAAATATTCCCATTTGCTAAGGGTTAGGATGGGAAAGGAAACAAAGACTCTGATCTTCAAACTTCTCTTACAAGATTATAAAACCTTCTGTTTCTGGCTTCCTCATGGAACTTTTTTCAGTAATGATGTTTCTTATTCCAAATAAAACATTTTTCAAGGGCAGAATTGCTAAGTAACAAATTATAGTCAGGGAGATGATGAAAACATTCTTTGTCCATTTTATCAGTCTAGTTCAGTTTATAAAAAAATAGCACTTTATAACATTTTCAGAAACTAACTCTATTTCTTTAAAGCTGCCTAGCAAGAAAATCATTAACCCATAGCTGTTGTGAGTAACTTGGCCTGGCTTGTGTTGATAGTCATACAGGCTATAAGTAATCTAAATTAACCTTGGATCCTCACCAACCCTGTCCCCTACCAAATCCCAGCTATTACACTACTGTCATAAAACATAGCAATCCTATATTTTTTCCTCCTTTTTAGAGGTCATGTATTTACTTCATCTTGACTATTGGGCTTTTCTCCACTTCTGGCTTGTTTCTCATTGCTCTTCTAAGGTCCTTCTAATGACCCATCACTGTTGTTGTTGATCTGTACTGCTCTCTTTCTTTCAATGTTTTTTTTTTGTATGCATGCGTGTGTGTGTGTGTGTGTGTGTGTTCATTCAATTTTCTCATGAATAGACTGATTGTGAGATAATATTTTCATAATGCCAGAGAATATCTTCTCCTCTGAAAAATGACTAGTGGCAGTCTGCTAAATAAAACTTCCAGGACCTTGGCTTCTTTCTCTTGTATTCACTTCTTGCTTGGCACTTAGGGACTACTTACTTTTCTTTTCATCTTCATATAATCTAGAAAGATTATACTACTAACTCTTATGTGATTTCTCTAAAATGTTCCCCAAATTTCTTCATCTTAGAAGATCACTCCACCTCTGAATTTCACACAGCAGGAGTACCTTCAACACTTGTGGCTTCTCCCTCTAATTGGATGATTCTCCCAAGAACCTCATTTTCAGGACAGCCAGGCTAGTAATGTTTTCATTACATTCCAGATTCCTGACCCACTTGAACTTTCTGTATAATGCCCATGCTCAGATTAACCTCATCTTCCCCCAAGCCTCTTTACCTTTTTTTTTTAATATTGTCTTCCTCTATTAGAATATAAGGGCCTTGAGGGTAGGGGCTTTCATTCTGTATGCTTGTATTTATATCACAAGAGCTTAGCACAATGAGGATCATAGTAGATGTTTCACAAATGCTTATTCATGTATTTGAAAAGTACAAGTTTTATTTTGCCCATTGTTTTGTTTTTACTTGGTTTGGTTTCTTTTGTCTGAAATATTTCTTAAAGGTAGACATTCTGGAATGCTAATCTCCTTAGAATAGAGGTGATCTAATATTTTTTTTCCCTATATAGTCAGTATTGCATTTTTTTACATTTATGGTCCTAATATGAGTCCTAGCCTAAAGGTGATTTGGCCTGCCGTTTTGCAATATGGCCAGTTCCATCAGTGAGAAATGGATAGCTTAGTCCATAGATCAATCAATTAACATTTTTCAAATGCAAACTATTTTCCAGGCCCTGTTTGAAGGTCCAGGAATACAAATAAAGACAAAATACAGTTTCTGCTTTCAAGGAGGGCACAGTCTCATGGGGGAGACAGTATGCAAGCATCTAGATATCAACAAGGTATTTACAGAATAAATAGGAGATAATGAATATACAGAAGGCACTATCACTGAATAAGATTGGGGAAGTCTTCTTAGAAATTGAGATTTTAGCTGGAACTTAAAGGAAGCAAGGGAAATAAAGTGATAGAGATGAAGGGGGGGGAGAAATCTGTGCATGGGCAGGTACAGGGGGATTTGGGGACACTTTCAGTGAAAATGAACATAGTTAGGAGATGAAGTGCTTTGTGTGGGGAACAAAAAGGAGGAGGCTAGTGTTAACTGGATCAGGGGTACATGAAGATGAGTTAGGCATGAGAAGACTGGCAAGGCAACTGGAGAAGGCAGGTTTAGATAGACTAGATCATAGTAACCCTAAGGTATACAGTAAACTTTAATTGCTTTTCAAGTCATGATTATTCTAAATAGCATTTCCCTAAACCTCCCTTTTGAAAAGTGCAATTTATCACGATTTTCCTTTTTGTGTATACATTCTAAAACACTAAAATAAATATGGGAAAAATGTAAATTTGTTGCAATAAACTGACTGGATCAAGTTAAGGTGCATGATTCATATTTGGACAGAACTGTATAGTTCACATACGCTTTTTTTCAGAATCAAAACCCATGCTATTTTAAGATATGTTTTTGAATTCAGAACTCTTTTTTTCATTTTCCATTGTACTTCAAGACAAAAGAAATGAGTTCATTTATGATTCCTTTGGGAATTGTGAAATATTACAAAAGGAACACTTCCAAGTCAGCTGTTCTTTCTTACACTCATTTACTGTATTCTCTGGTTAAAAAATCAAAAATCCATTTTTTGCATATTTGGTAAACCTTGATTTCTCCCTCTTTTTGTAAAATTAGTAAAAACAACAAGAAGACATCACTTCCTAGTGACATTCTGTCTACACTTAATTCCACTGGACAATCATATCCATTCCCTCCCCACCAGAAAATTGGATTTACCTGCAACTAGCCTGGATGGAATTAGCATCTACATGGTACAGTGGATAGAATACTTGGACCTGAAGTCAGGAAGACTGAATTCATATCTAGCCTCAGTCAGCTATGTGACCCTGGGAAAGCCACTTAAGTTCTGCTTGCCTCAGTTTTGTCACCTCTAAAATTAGAATAATAATAGTACCTTCTTCTTAGGGTAGTTGTGATAATCAAATGAGATGATATTTCTAAAGTATTTTGCGTAGCTGCTAAATCTCTGTTTAAATGCTAGCTATAACTCTAGGCCTCATTAGCTCTTTATAGACATCACTAGCCAAATGCATTCAGTCTTTTGGCTTCCCTTTATATGTCAACTTTCCTTATTAGACTGTAAGCTCCTGAGAATAGGTACTATCCTCTGCCTCTTTTTGCATTCTTAACAATAAGGACAGTGCCTGGCGTATAAGAGTGCTAATAAATGCTTATTCATTGTCTATCTTGCTTGCATTCGTTTATGTCTCCTGGGCTTAGCACAATGTCTAACACATTATCAGAGTTTAATAAATGCCTGTACTACATATACTATAGATGCTAGCTACCTGAAAACAAATGTATTGTCTCTTCTTTGGAAAGACAAAGCTAGGGGCAGCTAGGTGGCACAGTGGATAGAGCACTGGCCCTGGACCTGAGTTCAAATCCAGTCTCAAAGAAGACTCTTGACACTTACTAGCTGGGCAAGTCACTTAACCCCAATTGCCTCACACACACACACACACACACACAAGATAAAGTTAGGTTACATGTAAGGGGAAAAAAAAAAACAAAAATTTAAAAAAAAAACACTTTCTAACAATGAGAGCAATCCAAAAGTGGAATGAGCTGCCTTGGGAGATAGTATATTCCTCTTCCCTGGAGGTCTTTAAGCAAAAACTACGTGGCCATTTGTCAGACATATTCTGGAGGGGATTCGTGTAAAGATATGAGTTGATTCTGATTGCCTTTGAGGTCTCATCCAATTCTAAGATTCTGTGAAATGCTATTTCATTGAATTAGAAACATCAGTGTTCTCAAAAGGAAGATTTTTTATCGCTTTGGGAATACTGTTCATTAGATAGCTAGTGCCACATATCAAGAATGGAAATCTTCATATTGTCATTATTACAACATATAATATCAAAGTATAAGCTTAAAAAGTGGTAGGATACTGTGTGACCCTAGGCAAGTCACTTAACCCCAATTGCCTAAAAAAAAAGTGGTCTGATAGAGAGATAGATAATGGTTGTATATATTTTCTCCTTTTCAGTGAGTCATGCAAAGAAATTATCCCTAATTTATAGTCTTATTTTCACAGTAGAAAAAATGTTCATGTTTTATATGCCACTTCAAATTAGGAAATATAAATTCTACACAGCTTCTCCTAATTGATTTCCTATGGTTAATCCTTTATTCATGCTTATAGATCAAAAGGCAAGACAGTTATAAATAACTGGCTAGATGCTGTTAAAGAGATTTCCTTAGCATACTATTCTTCAACAGTGTCTAGATAGATTTTTCTCTGCTTCAGTGTGCAGAAAGAGAATAGAAGAATTAATGGATGGATGCATATATGTGTGTGGATATATAGAATTGTACTCAAATATTCAAATCAACCTTGGATATCATCAATTTGGAAGTTTGTTGTAATGATGTAGAGCACAGCCTATTCATGCTTCCCATCTTGTGCAATATTTGTTCCTCCAAAAAGTGCACTACAGGGAGTTTACTCACTCTTCTGGAGCTCTAATTTTCTTCCAATGTTTTGAGGCTGAAAGGAGGCAACTTTAATATTTACTTGTTATCTGCCCCTCTTAATACATGAGTATCTCTTCTCTTCCTGTCATGAATATTAGTGATTCCATGTTAAGTGTGAACAAGAACGAGAATATGTTAACATGGAAGTAGAACATTAACAATGAAAAAAACATTCTTTTCAATCATAAAATGTGATCAGCAAATCCCTTTGTCGTATAGCACAATAGATCAAGTCATAACCAAAATAATCTTGATATTCCTTTTCCCTACAGTACCAAAACAAAGTTTGTTTGTGTTTGTGAGTACCATTATTTTCCTTGCATGCAAAATGTACCCTTATTCACATGGATCAGACAAGATAAACCAATCAACACTAACATCTACTTGAGCCAGAGACACAGAATCTCAGAGCTGAAAAGCACTATAGTTGACAAATAGTCCAACTCATGCCTGAATAACCAATCAACCAATTTGAATTTTCTTAACTATATATATATATATCACATATGCATGGCCACTTTTGTTTGAAAAAACTCCATGAGGGTAAAGTCCACCACCACCTATGGAAAATAATTCCACTTTTGGTTAGCTCTCATTTTTGTGTGAATTCTAAATTTTCCTCTTTGAAACTTCCACTCATTGGTTCTACTTCTGCCTTGTAAGACAAAGTAAAATAAGTCTGT